TGGATGGCAACTTGGGCAGCAGTGACCACGAGATGATTAAATTCAGGATCCTGAGGGCAGGAAGGAAGGAGAGCAGCAGAGTGCAGACCCTGGACTTCAGACAAGCAAACTTTGACTCGCTCAGGGAACTGATGGGCTGGAGACCTGTCTAAGGGGGAATGGAGTCCAGGAGAGCTGGTTTTATTTGAAAGAAACTTTACTGAGGATACAAAAATGAGCCATCCCAATGCACAGGAAGACTTACAAGTATGGTAAAAGAACAGCTTGGCTTAGGGAATTCTTCAGTGAGCTAACACAAAAAGGAAGCTTACAAGAAATGGCAACTTGGACATAGGACTAGGGAAGGATATAAGAGTATTGCTGGGGCATGGAGGGGTGAAATCAGGAAGGCCAAAGCACACCTGAAGTTGCAGCTAGCAATGGATATGAAGGGTAACAAGAAGGGTTTCTACAAGTATGTCAGCAGCAAGAGGAAGATCAGAGAAAGTGTGTGCCCCTTGCTGAATGAGGGAGTGTAGCATGGCACTAAGATGTGCTTGCTCCTTAAAGCTGAAGAAGCCTGGCCAGGGAGTTCGTCGGGCTAAGCAGAACTCCCCTGCTGCAGGTTGCCAGGGTAACAGCCTCAGGAAGTAATTGGCCACACCTGTCGACATCACCTGACTGGCAGGAGGGAGGGTTCTGGGATATATAAGCCCAGGCTATAGCTAGCAGACACATTCTCTCTCTGACAACTATGGGGAAAGAGGTCTTGCCTGCTGAAGCTATTTGAGATGTGGTGCGGCCTGCCTAGCTCCCAGTACTGCCTGCTCTGCTATCCAGGTGCTACATGACTACAGGGAGTCTCCCAGGTACCTAGATAGGGGCATGTTACTATGAGTGGAAGTTTGTTCCCTTACAGGGGTATAGCACTTGTTATTGTTAGTATTTAAGTTGTAGCCTAGGGGCTTGTGTTTCTGTTCGTGTTTACCCTGGAGGATTGGATTGAGGCTAGAAGGGGAGGTTTGGAGGCCTCATTAGTGCCTGGAGAGAGAGGGCATATGATTTGGTAGAGCCCAGTCAGGCACAGCAAGCATAGCATCAGAGGGGTGCAGCCAGAAGCGTGCAGTAAGTTCAGAGCACCAGGAGGGTGCAGCTAGAAGGGTTCAGTGAACTCACAGAGCCAGAGGGCACACTTACAGGGTTGGGGCAAGCCCTTAGCACCGGAGAAGTGAAGCCAAAGGGGCGCAGCACCCATAATGCCAGAGGGACGCAGCTAAGGGGGCACAGAACCAGGCGCCCAAGAGAAAGGCACAGAAAGACAATCACTAGAGAGCTTGGTGCCTGCGTATTGCAGAGAGACAGAAGCCTCAGTGCCAGGGGCATATAGAGTCGATGACGGTAATAACACATGCAAGGCATGGGACACGTGTAGGAAAGGTTGAGGCATGTATATACCACCTGGTATAGCTGGGCACATGAAGGGCAGCCTCCAACCTAATGAACAACTTAATTATTTACTAACAAGGTGTGGCAGATGAGGTAGGCAGGCAGACTGCCCAAGACAGGTGGGTAGGCTGGTGCAGAGGTTGGACTCAGGGTGGCCCCCTGTCACGGAGGCAACCTAATGACAGATAATGCAGAAAAGGCTGAAGTGCTTAATGCTTTTTTTACCTCAGTCTTTACAGGCAAGGTCAGTTGCCAGACTACTGAACCTGGCAGCCCAGTTTGGGGAGGAGGTGAGCAGCCAACAGTGGCAAAAGAATAGGTTATGGACTATTTAGAAAACCTAGATATGTACAAATCCATGGGGCCAAACTTGATGGAACCAAGGGTGATGAGGTAAATGTGACTGCAGAGTTGGCCATTATCTCTGAAAAGTCGTAGCAATTTGAGGCGGTCCTGGATGGTTGGAAAAGGGCAAATATTAGAGCCCATCTTTAAGAAAGGAAAGAAGGAGTATCCTGGGAACTATAGGCCAGTCAGCCTCACCTCAGTCCCTGAAAAATTGTGGAACTTTTCTAAGTACTTGGAGGAGAAGGTGATTAAGAACAGGCAGCACAGATTTACCAAGGGCAAGTCATGCCTGACCAAACTATGATTGCCTTCTATGATGACGTTTACAAGTCCATGGGGTCAGATTTGATGCACCCAAGAGAGCTAAGGGAGTTGCCCGATGTGATTGCATTGGTGATGCATCCCTTTGTATTGGTGATACATCTTTGAGTTTCCCACTATCAAGTAGGAAGAACATACTATGCAGTGTTATTAAACATGTTATTAAATACAATTTTTGGAGCAGTGCTTAATAACATGGGCTCTTTCAGCTTTTTTCATTGCGTCTTTCAGAACTGAGGTCATGTTCCATCTTAAACCACATCACAGTAAATGGTTCTATACATCACATTTTGTATACATTACAGTGTTCCTTTTCTGTCTTAAGATCCTCAGTTCAAGGTGAGCCTTGAACTGAAGGCACACTGAGCTCTATCCCATAGTTCCCCCACTTGATTAGGGTATTAATTGTAGTAAAACTGATCTGTGTCTTGGCTTTCCCAAGTTTATTTGGAGTACAGCCATAATGAACAATGCTTCATTTTTCCTAGTAAGGAAAGGCAGTAGGTAAACTCCTTTTCTTGTAAATAATTGTCCTCTAATATCCTCGGTTCAAAGATTTTCTTTTTAACTTTGAATAAAATTAGATGAGCTTTAAAGATTCTGTATTTTTTTTTATAATATTTATATTTTGTGTGCTCACTGAAAATCACAGGCCATGTCCAGACAAGCAAGCATGTGCCTGCTGCAGTGCGTCAGAGCAGTTTGAGATACAATGAGAGGCACACTAAGAATGAAAAAATGTTTCTCACACTGCATATTTGCAGCATGGACTCTAAATTTGATACCAGGAAATCCTAGTATCAAAAAATAACATGCTGGGAAAAAGCAGTGCAGGGAGCACTCCTGGAGCATGCCCTGAAATAACTGGAGGCTGGGTCTTCCAGAGATGCTCTAGCATGCTGCCAGAGCATCTCCATGGCTGCCGCATGCCCCTGCTGCTTCAGCACTCTGCCTCAGCCTGCTGGGGAAATAGGAGCAGGCAAGGCTCTCTCCCCAGTAAGTAGGGATGTGTAGGTGGGGGGAGGAGTGACTGTGGGTGCGGGGGAGACTGTCCAGGAGAGGTGGGTCCCCTGTCTGTCCCCCTATACAGCGCACAGCGTTCCCCTCTCCCCTCCACAGCAGCAGCAGCTGTTGGGGCACTCACGGCTTGCTCCTGGCAGAGACCCATGGTGGTGTAGCACAGCCTCAGACTCAGGGGCTGCACGTGGAGCATGACACCACCCCAGCCTGCTGGCACATTCCTTCAGGCAAGACCAGGCTGGGCTCCTAGCATCACACACACAAGCCGCACATTATCAGGCTGGGCTGTCTTCATGGAGGCTGCTGCTGCTTCTGGGGAGGGTGTGCACTGTGCAGGGCAGGGCTGTGCGCCATGTGGTGGGGCAGGGGACCCACCCCCCAGCAGTTCCCTCCATCCACACAGTCCCCCCACACCCACAAACTCCCCAGGACAGCACAAGGGCCTGCTGGTGGGAGCCATGGCTGCAGAGGCAGCTGCCACCTTGCAGCCCTGCCCTGTGCCCACACCAGTGTTGAGACATGTGGCCCCAGTCTGGGGGGGGCTCCTGGTCTCAGGAACCACTTGGGGCGTGTGATGGGTTGGGGGGAGGGGTAGAGGTAGAAGCAGGGGTGTGAGAGAGAAAGAAACAGGGGTTGGGAATGGAGGAGAGCTCCAGGTAGGAGAGGCTGCCAAAGCTGGGCTTAGAGCCCTGTTGCCTGCTAGAGCAGCCTTTGCAGGGGGAGACTGGCTTGGAAGGGAAGGAGCTTGCCCAGCCCAGTCACTGAGCCCCAGTCAAGGGCTTCCCAGGAACAGCCTGGGGATTGCTGAGGCCTGGGCACAGTCACAGGGGCAGAACAGCAAGGGCTGGTACTGCTCAGAGCCACAAAAGGGGTGGAACAGCTGCAGCTGGACTCATGTCCTGTAGGGCTGTGTGAAACAGCTCTGTTCCAATTCAGATTCGGCCATTTCGGAGGGACAGTGATTCGATTTGGTGTTTTGGATCACTGTCCCAATTCGATTCAGCCAAATCTATTTCGGAATTTCGACACTATAATGGAGAATCACTAAAATACCTATAACTTTGTAATTTTTTGCTTGATTCAGATGAAAACAGCAGGGATGCAGCCCTTTCTGAGGGCATGAAGCCTGCCAAGTTTCAAGGAGATAGGTGCAAAGGTTTCTGGGAAACTGCACCTCGAACTGTTCAAAGCAAAACTCATGACACTTGTGTGTGTTAAGAGGTGTGTGTAGGTTGTAGCTGTGTTGGTCTAAGGACATAGGCAGACGATGTTCTTTGGGTCAATCTGATATCTTTTATTAGACTGAGTAGTTGGAGAAATGTATCTGAGCAAGCTTTTGAGTTTAAAACCCCTTTGTCAGGCTGAGGAAACATCTGCAGTTGGTGTGTGTGCTCTTCCTGAACAGAGTGAATAGTAAACAAGCCAGAGGCTGGTATGCTGGCAAGAAAGCCAGTCAGTAAAAATGTAAATTGAGGCATCAGGGGGTGAGAGGCAGGCTGAGGGAGGGGGCAAGGGGGATGTAGCAGGTAAAAGTGGAGAGGTATCTGGGAAGTCAGATGTCAGGCAGGTTATAGTGTGTCGTAAATCCAGTGTCTATTATTGAGTCTGAGTTTTTGTATCTAGGACAGGGGCGAGCAATTATTTCAGGCGGAGGGCTGCTTACTGAGTTTTGGCAAGCCATTGAGGGCCGTATAACAGGCAGCCAGGAGCAGATAAATATTAATTTTCTAAATTTTTAGGGGCCCCGTGGGCTGAATAGAATGACCTGGCGGCCCACATTTTGCCCATCCCTGATCTAGGAGGTTGATGAAGTGAAGTTCATTCATAATGCTTGGTGTGTTGCAAAATGTGTATGTTTCTGTAATATATGTTGTGCTTTCTGATAGTGCACAGTGATGACTGTCAGGAAAAACACAGAAGAAGTGAGACTAGCTAGCTACCAAGAAACTAGATAGCAAGCCAGAGCCTTTCAGATGTTGCTGGTCCAAGAGAGACAGCTCACAAAAGGCACAGATCACTTAACACATAGCCTTGTATGTTGTTTCTGCTTCCCTCCTCCAGAGCACTGTGATTGGAGGGGAACTCAGGGAAAGATCAGTCACTGGCCAGCTACAGATGTCAATATCAGAGAAGTCTTTCCCCCATTCCTCCCCTGGTTCTTCCGTTGCTAGCTGGTGATACAGTGAGTGCCGCCTCCAGCTTTGAGAGTGGGGCATTAAATGGTTGTGAAACCAAACCAAATAAAAAAAGGAAATAGGTGTGGATGGAGTGAAGATGGTGGCACTCACTCCATCTGCATGTGGGACTTGGGAAACCTCAGCAGTGGGAGGTTTACCTTGAGGAACACCAGCTGTTCCACCAAACCAGGATCCTAAGAGGTGGTGGTGTCACAACATCCCCAGCAATGCTGAACATCCTCTCGCTCGGAATGCTGGTTGGTGAACAGGACAGGTGTTCCCAGGCAACTGTGGCTAGATCCTGCCACATGTGGATGTGGCTTGCCCAATAGGCCAAGGGGTCACAGAGCAGCAGCTCCACATCATCAGTGAGATACGTAGCCACCAAGGCCTCGGTGCTACCTACCTGATGCTGGGGTCTGGCGCCTCTGGACCCCAACATGGAAGCCATGCCCTTGGCCCACATTGGCAGCACCTGTGGTGGAGGAGAAGACTGGCTGGTGGATGGAGTGCTGGTCCGGGAAAGTGGATTCCTCTCTTCCACATCCCCCTGCCTGTGCCCTTCTGCCTCCCTGCCTCTCTTCACCAGCACTTCCATCCAGTGATCCAGGGTTTTGCTGCAGCAGATGCTCCCCTTCATCCTTGGGTTGCACATGCCCACAAGCAAGTGGACCATACTGGACCGCAACAGATCCAGCCATTTCTTAATGCCCTCCTTCAGCCACTTCACCAGTGCCTGCACCTCTGGTGACAGTGGCTTGCCCCAGCCCGGAACATTAATCCCCCAGAACTTCTACATTTGGCTCTGAAGCTCCCTCACTATGGGGATCACCTGGCTAAGGGCATCACCAGCGCTAAGGCTATCGGTGTATCAGAATGGCTTGAGGACCACCAAGATCTGGGAGATGGTATCCAACTCAGCTTTGTTAAGGGGGCTACTGATCCCAATCTCCCCGAGAAAAGCCGTCTCATGAATGGCCTTCTGTTGCTCGACCAGCCTTTCGAGCATCAGGTATGTGGAGTTCCACCGAGTTTCCACATCCTGCAAGATTTTGTGCTGTGGGACGTTCAGCTCTGCCTATTTGTCCCGCAGCATTTTGCCCCCTTGATGCTTCAGTGGAAGTAGCCCACCACCTTCCTGCATTTTGAAATGAGCTAGCTGGTTCTGACGGTGCCCTCACTGACAGCCCTATCCCCCTCCAAGGTGTCCCTGACTATAAGGTGGAACTTGTGTGCCACACAGCAGATGCCAACAAAGTTGGCATCATGAACTGCCTTGGCCATATTAGCCCCACTGTTAGTGACCATGAAACCGAGGATGAGCTCACCCTGCCCAATGAGTCACTGCTGCACCATGTGGTTCATGGCCTGCATGATTTCCCTTGCCATGTGGGTCTCATCCATCACCTCCTCTTGAAGGAGAACCCACCAATGGCCGATCGCTTCTCGGCCTTTTGGCTAAGATCAAGCGCAGGCCTCTGGAAGGCTCTGATCGGGTTGGTGGGCGGGCCCAGGCCCGGCCGCTGCCTGGTCGGGCCTTGCAAGGCCGGGAAATTGAAAGAAAACAGAGATAAATATGGAGGCGGAAGTGGAGAGGAGAATAGCAAAACCGGCGATGAGCGTGGAGTGGATGGAGCAGATGCAAGCAGACCGGATGCGAGGAGAACCAAGCGGAAGTGAAGAGAGAAATCGGGAGACCAGAGCAGGCAAGAAGAGTGCAGATGGAGGTGAGCTGACGATGGAGGAGGGGTGGAGCCTCTTGGGACAGCATGGGAAGGTCCAGCCGGGAGCGGGGGGGAAGAAGACCCCCGAAGAGAGAAGAGCATCGGCAGCGGAAGGGAGTCATCGGGAGGCCCCAGGGCAAGAGAAGGAGGCGGCAGGAGCGGCGGACCCTGAAGAGGAGGAAAATGGAGGCCAGGGGACAAAATGGAGGGTGAAAGTAACCCTCACCTTTGAGGGGTATAAGGGGAACAAGACTCTGAAGCGCGGAGACTTTATGGCCGAGGTCCTCTTTAAGACCCTCAAAGTGAATCCGAGGGACATGAACTGCGTGGTGGCCTTCGACAACAGGAAGGTCTGGAACGTGACTTTTGAGACTGAGAAATGTTATGCCGCCTTTTGGAAGGCGCATGAGGAGGCATTGGAACGAGGGGAGCTGGAGGGGTTGGTGTTCGATATGGGGCGGAAGGCACGGGAGAGAGTGCTATGTATTTAAGATGTTTTCGGACATATTGCATAAGGACGACATGAGAAGATGGGTGGAGAGGGTGACGTCTGTGGAAAAAGAGCATGATCGGTGGGGGATTTGGACGGGGGCATGGAGGGCGAAGGTGGTGCTCCATGAGGTGGTGGGGAGCCCGGGGGCAGTTAAGCACTTGGCTTCGGCGGTGCAAGTTGGGCCATGTAGGGGATATGTGGTTTATCATGACCAGCCCAAGCTGTGCACAAGAGGGGCACCTGGCGGCGTTCTGCAGGCTCACGGTGTGTTATCGATGCAGGGGGCTGGGGCACACAGCTCAATTGTGTAAGGAGAGCTTTGTATGTAAGGGTTGTGGGCAGGAGGGCCACATACAGCAGACGTGCCCCTCGTCCTACGCAAATAGAGTGTGGATGGCGGGGCGTTGTGAGGAGCAGGGTGGGAGGAGGGAGAAATGGAGGAGGAGGAACAGCTGGGTGGTGGATGGCGGGGCGTTGTGAGGAGCAGGGTGGGAGGAGGGAGAAATGGAGGAGGAGGAACAGCTGGGTGGGCCGGAGGAGGGAGGGGAGATGAGTGTGGAGGAAACACCAGTGGAGGGAAGACCTGGGGAGGAGGAGGGTAAAGAGGAGATAGAAGAGGCAGTCATGGAGCTGGTGGAGGAGGAGGAGTTGGAGATGGAAGGAAAGAAGGGGGAAGAGGGAGAGGAGGGGGATGCGGTGTTGCAACAATTGTGGGGTATGGTGGCGGAGTTGGAAACGGGACAAATAATGGGACAAACGACGGGTCAAACACAGGGGAAGGGGTGGGCAGAGCAAATGGAGGAGATGGAAGCAATTAAACAAGGGCAGGAGGGGAGTCTCAAGAAAAGGAAGAAACAAGGCAGGGAGGAAAAGGGGAAGAAGAAGTTGGGGTTGCAAACTGAGGGTGGGAAGGAAGAAGTGAAGGGGAAGGAGAAGGGGAAAGGGAGGAAAGTTTGGGATTTCTGAGCCCAGGAATGGTGGAGGGTTTGTTTGAAAAAACTGGGATATGGAGGAAGGGGGTAGAGTCCTCACTGGAGTCATCAGAGAGTGGGAGTGGGGAAGACGTGTGGGGGGGGGGGAAGTTTTTCGTTTCTGCTGATTGCAATGGAAGGGGCATTTTGTGTTGTCTCCTTGAACGTGAGGAGTCTGTTATCTAAGAAAGGGTGGGAGGGTATTTGAGGGCATTAAGGGCTGATATTATTTGTTTACAAGAGTGTGGGATTGGGTGGGAAGGGGATTATGGGGTGCTGCGGAGAAGGTGGGATAAGGGAAGATCATGGTGGGCGGGGGCAGGTAGGAATAACGTGGCAGGGGTGGGGATTTTAGTGAATGAGACACGGGTGAGAGTGATTGGGGTGGAGGTGTTAATTGAGGGGCGGCTGCAACACATGGTGGGGAGGAGGTGGGGGTGTTCAATGTCTACGCACCAGCGGTGAAGGCGGAGCGGAGGGAATTCTTTCAGAGATTGGCGATATGTGGGGGAGGGGGAGGGAAGAAGGTGTTTGTAGGGGACTTTAACTGTATTATTGAGGGAGGGGATAGGGAAAGGGGGGTTGGCGGGGGAAGTTTGGACAGCATGGGGTGGTGTTTGGGGAACTGGATTCGAGAAGAGGGACTGGTGGATGTCTGGAAGGGGGAGCAGGTGGGGACGAGGATCAACCCGGGGGGGAAGAGTGTTTCGCGGATCTATTTTGTGTTGGTTTCGGAGGGGGTGGGGGTGGGGAGAGGGAGGGGGGTGTGGAAGTTGAACACAAGGGTGCTGGAAGACCAACAGGTGTGTAGGGCGTTTGGGAGGGAATATGAGAGGTGGAAAACAACAAGGGTGCTGTTTAAGTCTCATTGGGAGTGGTGGAGGGTCATGAAGGAAAAGATCAGGGGGTGGTTTATTCGAGTTGGGAAGCGGAAGGCGTGGGAGAAGAGGAAGGAGCTGGGGAGGCTGCAGGGGAAGGTTCAGGGGTTGATTCATGAGGCGATGGGGGGGAAGGAAGTGAAGCGGGAGTTGGGGGAGGCGAAGCAGGCGGTGGAAGAGTGGTTTTGGGGGAGGGAGCGGGAGAGGATGTTTTTAGCACGGGCATCGTGGGTGGGGAGGGGGAGGAATGGGGGAAGTATTTTGCAGAGAGGGTGAAGAAGGGGAGCAGGGAAGTGGGGGCAGTGGTGACGGGGGAGGGGGTGACAAGGGTCTATGAGGGGTTGT